GTGGGGTTGTTAACCAATGTTATAAAACAATATGTGTACTGACTGTTTAATGAGAAACTATTTGTTCTATAAACCTTCACCTAAAGTACAATAAAAAAATAAATATATAAAAAAAAAATTAGGCTCTGGGCAATGGAAAGGGACTTTAAATCTCAAAGCCAGTTCACATTTTAGTTTTTATTTTTTCATTATCGTTATAAAATTAATCTTTTCCCCCTTGGTCCAAAGCACCAGCTTGGAGCGTGTCAATCGGGGTTCAAACCCTGGCTCCCTCACTTCCTGGGATACAGCTGTGGGCAAGAGAAGTAACTTCTCAGGGCCTCAGTTTCCTCATCTGTCCAATGGAGATAAGCAGACTCCTCATCGCGTCAGATGAAGTGCCGAGAGCAGCGCAGCGAGGCTGCCGGAGAGCACCGTGCACGTCAGTTAGCAGTAGTTATGCTTTTTCTCCTCCTCCTTACTTTTTACTTTTTAAAATTTTCATTTTTCATTCTAATATCTCTGGAAGACCTACTATGTACAGTCTCCCGTCCTCTAGCTCAGAACCAGCCTGGGCCAGGATGAAGGATGCGGGAAAAGGCCGGCAAGTGTGGGTTTCCTAAGCACTTACTTGGTACCAGGAGCGTCCCTGTGAGGCAGGCATTATCAGCCCATATTACGTGTGGGAAAGCAGAGACTGAGAGGGGCAGACACCTGCAGACAGCCTGGTTAGCAGGTGGGAGAGGTCGGATCTGAACCCACACATGTATACCCCGGCCCCTGAAGTTCAGGGGCTGGAGAGGCCCACTACCCCTCACACTCACTATTTGACCTCCTCACCAAAATCTTCCCTTTCTAAATAATCTGCTATGAATGGGTTTGGAGAAGAAACTTCTAAGGGGAAGGACAGAAGAAGAGCTCTGAAATTTCTATCAGTCAAGCATAATATATTACTAATAATTTATCTTTAGCTATTCAGGAATTAAGTAAACTTCAAATAAGCCGTTACACAAACATTCAAGGCCCAATGAACTCAAAAAATGCTTTAATAAGAACGCTGTAGCCTCCTCAAGGAGCCATGGCTTCATGTCTGCCCTCCCAGGCCACGAGCCCTGTGACTCACATGTTAGGTCACAGAACACCCTCCCAAGGCCAAACACTGGTCACAGACTTGTGTTGGCACAAGCAGGGTGCCAGACCCTCAGAGCAGTACTCTGGAATCACTCTACCAGCAGCGCGCCATGCTAGTTCCAGGCAGTGCAGCCTAGTGATTAAGAACAGGGCTGTGGAGGCCGCTAGCTGGGCAGGAAGGCCGCTCCCACCACTCACCAGCAGGGTGGTCTGGGCAAGTTATCTTACCTCGCCCACGCTCCAGTTCCTGAACAGTAAAAGTCAGGAATCTGGGGGAGCCTTTCGCCTCGGGTTGCTGTGATAATTCAGTGGATCATCAGGTGAAAACCCTTTCCCAGCACTCACTAGCTGCCAGCTGTTACTGAGGCAGTGGGATACGGCCGTGGCTCTAGACCAGGCTACCTGGGTTTCCGTCTCAGCTCTAGGACTTACAGGCTGTGCGACCTTGAGCCACCCACTTTACTTCTCTGCACCTCAGTCTCCCCATGTATAAAACGGGAATGCTAACAGAAACTTCCTCATGGGGAAGGTGGTTGTGACGATTAAATGAAATGAGATGTGTAAAGCACCTACAACAGCACCTGCTACACAGTAAACGCTCAAAAGATTTTCTTCTATTATTTTTATAGAAATCAGCTTGGTTCAGGGGGCAAAGAAAATTCCACAAGAAACCCCAAACCAAACCCGTTGCCATCAAGTCAGTTTCAACTCATGGTGACCTCATGGGCTCCACTGTGCCCCACAGGGTCTTCCTGGCTGTGATCTTACAGCAGATTGCCAGGCCTTTCTCCATGGCACCACTGGGTGGATTTGAACAGCCAACCTTTCAGTTAGTAGCCAAGAGCAAGCAAGCTATTTGTGCCATCCAGCGACCCAAGTAATTCTAAATAACTAGGTTGCCAGACTAGACCCAGTATCCCCTCCAGCACCAAAGACTCGGAAGACCAAGGACAAAAAACCACAGCAGACTCCCCAGGGCTTGATCTGCGCCACACCTTCCCACTGGAGAAGAGGACTCTAATGAATGCACTTAAACGCACACGCTCTTTAAAAATGGTTTTAAACACCAAGCAAGACACAAACAAAAAGTCAACTTGATTTAAATTTGCTACATTGAGAGCAAAGCAACAAACCAGTGTGAGGTCTCAATGGTGCCTAGCACTGTGGTTCAAACAGGAAGTCCCGTTATCAACTACACCTTCCTCTCCTGCCCAACTCCCGGTCTCACTTCCCGTGGTGCATGATAACAGAAGGAGCTTTGCATATAAGTGGGTTTTGCAGGAAACTTAAGTGTACAGGTTTAAGAACTGAGAGCTCTTTTTTCTGGCTGGTTTTGATAGCAATCTCTCCTGCCTTTCTGAAAAAAGTCGGCTGGATGGAATTTGAGCAGGGGGGTGGCAAGGCCCAGGGTTGACAGACGGGGGACCCCTGTACTTACTAACCCCTCCACCCACCCCCTAGGCAGCGGGCCTAGGCTACCACCACCCTTCAGGCCGGTCCTTTCTTCTTCTCCCAGCTTCTCTTCCTACTTCTGCAGTTTGTCACCTTTGTTACCATTGGATGTGTCACTCACAGTCACATCAGCCAATGAGAGCACTTTGACTCCACTAGGCACTGGCATTTAAAGCTTGTTTTTTCACAGAATTCGTATTTGCTGCCAAAGACATTTTCTGTGTCCCGGCCCCGTGCCATTCTATCTACGGCATGGTGGTGGCTGGCCAACCTCCAGATGACCACGTTGCACCACCCCAGCCCTTGCTCCACAGAGCCTAGGGTCCCGCTTTCATCTGAGCCTGCAGCCCAGCAGTGAAATTCAAACACGCCTCCCAAGACTTGTTCAAGCTGCAGCTTTGCAGTTCCTCCTCGAGACCTTAACTTCGTTAACGTAACAGAGCAGCACAGGACGCGGGCAGGATACCTGGACTCCAGTGCTGGCTACTCCCCACAACACCCAGCAGTCCCTCAAACTCTGCCTCTCTACTTCCTATTAACAGGGAGAGCAACACCACCCACCACCCAGGGTGCCGTGAGGCTCCCAGGAGAGCAGGTCTGGGAGTGAACCTCCTAGAACATGCTGGTTGTCCTTCCTCTGTGGGGTCACAACTTTGTATGACTCCAGCCAGCACCATTCACCAGTTATTCCAAGTGGTGCTGTTCCCACAGCAGACACCATGAATGCTGCCCCCTAAGGCTGTGCAAAGGCAGCACTGCTAACCCACCTCAAAACCAAGCCCACTGCCATCGAGCTGATTCCAACTCATAGCGACCCTATAGGACAGAGTAGAACTGCCCCAAAGGGTTTCCCAGACTGTAATCTTTACGGAAGCAGACTGCCACATCTTTCTCTTGTAGAGTAGCTGGTGGTTCGAACCACCAAACTTTTGGTTAGCAGCCAAGTGCTAAATCACTGTGCAACCAGGGCTCCTTAACCCACCTCACGTGGGTGTTAATAAAAGACCAGTAAGGCATCCATCTCGGACTGACGCTTTGCTGGTCTGGTTGTCCATGCTGGGCTAAAATGACTAAGTCAGAAATGTCTGAGGACGCAAGGGGTAAAAAATTAAAATTTCCTTCCATCTTGAGTTTGCATTGAGGCAACACCCCAGGATCTTACTTCTCTGACTACATCCACAGGCAGAGAAATCAGCAAAGATCCAATGCAAAAGCTTTCTGCCTCTAAAACCCCAAATAAGCACAGACGTACACCCAGTATCGTCTCAAAGCTGCCTTCTCTGCAAATGTAATCAACTTCCAGAGCCTGACGGCCAAGTCTCCAGTCACAGACAAAAAGAGCCAGATTCCCTCTCTGTCTGTCACTTCTTGCAGCTCCGCTCAAGGCTCAGCCTCTTTTTAATTCTCTATCCTTCCCTTCCCGATGGCCCCTGTGGGAAATCCAGGTGACTCTGCTATGTCAAAAACAGGCTTTAGGGACGGCGTCCATTGGGCCCTTGACAGGTTTCTCCTCGTTAAAACCCCTGAACTTCATAGAAGTAACAATGCCCAAAGTCAGCAGATTGTGAGACTCATAAAAACTCAGAATTCCCGGAGATCCACAGAGGCGAGGCGTGGCATGGGCACAATGTGCCAACATCATCAGAAGGCATGTATAAAGAACCTCTCTTTACTGGCTCTGGGCTAGCTCACAAAGAGCTGAGAGGGCACCCTGGGTGCTTTAATAGTTGATGAAAAGGACCATTGATGGGGCAGGGCAACCGACTGGGGCAGGGGGCATCAAACAGGGACAACTGATGGGGCAGGGCCAGCAACCAGGGACCACTGACCAGGCAGGAGCCACCTACCGGGGCAGGGCCACCGACCAGGGACAACTGATGGCGCAGGGCCACCGACCAGGGACCATTGACGGGGCAGAAGCCACCTACCCGGGCAGGGCCACCGACCAGGGACCACTGACGCGGCAGGGCCACCGACCAGGGCAGGGACCACCGCGTCTCCAGCAGGGAGGCTGGGCCTGGGCTGTGGTAAAGCAAGGCAAGAGGCCGTCCAAGTGAAGTCGGCGAGGGGTCTCCGTGTAGGGCAGACCCTTCCCCAGTCATCCCAATCAGGCTGCCCTGAGGAGAGGGGCGCGCGCCCCGTTTCACCCTGCGGAGCCTGCAGACCGCTTCGGGGGGCTCTCCGGGACCCTCTCTGGGTCGCCGTCCGACCCTGCAGCCCCTGACCGCGTTCCCATGTCCAACTCCAGCCAGGCAGGCAGGCCGCGGCCCGGCCCCTCCGCCGAGGGTCCCTGCGGCTCCGGCAGCGCCCCCTCGGCCCCCGGTTCCACGTGTTCGGGGCCCACGGCGG